TACGAGCTACCAAAACAATATACAAGGATGCACAAAATGTGTCCAAAATTAAAATTTACAGTTCAAATTCATATGACCATACACACACACACACGACAGGAGTACGTCTAGCAACGCTGCGATGTTCCCTGGTGGCTGTTAAGACTTTGAAAGACTTCAGAAATGTCTCGAACACACACACAGACCCCCATATATCAGAAATCAGAGCTCACAAAGGGCATATGATAAAACTATCTACGCATCTGTGCGATGTAACTGTCACAGAAATATGAAACATCAATACGAATATCAAATCTAAAACCTCTTGACGATGGTGCAGAGTCAATTGAATAAAAAATTTCTTGGATATTATCCATCGTCTAGTAAATATAAAACGTAAAACGACGTTGCGGAGATGGGACTCTATCTCCGTCTTCAGGTTCCTACACAGTTGGGCCCGGACCGGAGATAGGGATTAGCTCTATCAAGTAGGCCCAACTGTGTAGGAACCTGAAGACGGAGATACAGTCCCATCTCCGAAACGTCGTTTTACGTTTTATATTTACTAGACGATGGATAATATCCAAGAAAATTTTTATTCAATTGACTCTTCACCATCGTTGAGAAGTTTTAGATTTGATTCTCCGAAACGTCGTTTTACGTTTTATATTTACTAGACGATGGATAATATCCAAGAAAATTTTTATTCAATTGACTCTTCACCATCGTCAAGAAGTTCTAGATTTGATTCTCCGAAACGTCGTTTTACGTTTTATATTTACTAGACGATGGATAATATCCAAGAAAATATTTATTCATCAATACGAAGCTCGTCTTATTACGTTGATCTGCGTTCTTGGTTCCTACACAGTATTTATTTATAATATATATATTGTGTGTGTGATTTATCAAGTCTTTAAAGGGTTTATCAGTGACTTTTTAACTTACAAACTTTCCATGTAAGACATTCAGAAACAGAAGCAATTTACTTTGGTCTTTGGAGTATCAGAGTGAACATTCCATCCCTGAACACCATTTCAAGATTAAACTTCATAATTTTATAAGGTATTGTAGATGCGTCATATTGTGAATTAATAGTATTAAAATTTAAATATTTAAAAATAACCGTCAATCACAATAAAATTAAAAGATTAAAAGATTAAAATATCATATTATGTTCCCTATCGAGTACTCGATTTACATATGGAACTTACACAACATGTTTCGGCTAAATGTAGCCATCTTCTGGTGTATTATATATAAACTTTTTACTGAATTACTCTTTACGATTTTAATGATTTTTAAGTACAGTCAGTAATCAGCCACCATCCAATGCAGTACGTACACCTCCGATCTCTCCAAATAAGATTACAATATTACTTCTTGGTCCATATACGAACTTCGACATCAATACGTAATACGAAATTAACATATTTGCGACCTGGGATACCACAACAAATGGTACTACAACGAATGGTGAATCAATATAAAGGACAAAACATCAGAAGAAAAGTCATTAAAATCGTAAAAAGTAATTCAGTAAAAAGTTTATGTATAATACACCAGAAGATGGCTACATATAGCCGAAACATGTTGTGTAAGTTCCATATGTAAATCGAGTACTCGATAGGGAACATAATATGATATTTTAATCTTTTAATTTTATTGTGATTGACGGTTATTTTTAAATATTTAAATTTTAATTCATAATTTTAGTCACAAATGCACTGACTATGCAGTATTTATCCTCTACAGCATGAATTAATTTATTTTAATTTATTCACAAAAAATTACTGTGGGTCAAATACCAAGTAATATGAAAAAAAATATATTAGCAATTAATTATAAACAAACAAAAAATAGTTTGTTGCCCTCAGATAACACCACGCATAGTATTTGTCTTCCTTATTTTTCATAGATCCTGATATGGATACAAGAAAAATTATCAGAATTAGTTACAACGCTCAAATGTACATTGAAATCCAAGCATTTCACTTTCAGTGTTCCCTCAGTCTTCCTTCCTTCCCTTGAAAATAAATAAAAACATAAATCTAACCTAACCTCACGCGTAAAAGTTAACAGCTGATGGTATCTGTGGTTACAGACTCTCAGTACGTTCTTCCGGACATTTCTGGTTAGAAGGGTTTATACTTTTGATTTGCAATACTAAATTTTACCTTGCACAAACACTTGGAAGTTCAAGTTTTCACTTCGAAATTAATCCCTTCAAATCACAAATTAAAAACATCCTATGTCCCCCCACCCCCTCTTCTTGTTCCTTCGGGTGTACAACTTCAGACTCCTCTGCTAATCAACATTATTCACACTTACAGACAGAACATTCCAATTATATATTACACAATCCAACGCAAGTCTCACCAAATAGGCCAAGTCCCCCTGTGTCACATTGTTACAGACTCACAGAATACATTTTATTACTTCAAATTTGGAGGAATTATGAAGATCTTCATCCAATTATATCTCTCTTTATGCACAATTACTCGTTGATGGTTAATTTATTTCAGAAGCATCACACAAATATTCCTCAATGTCTGTCTCAGGAATTATAAATGTCATGTTTGAATTCTTATCTGCAACAAACCCATTAATTTTCATGAATAATGACTATCTTCTGGCTATATTTTTAACTTTCACATAAGTCCCACTGTACTCTGTCGTCGGTGTAAACACTGTTCTAATGTAAAACAATAAACACATAATTTATTTATAAATTACTAATTTTGTAATGAATTTCAAGTACATATGTACTCCAGAACATGGTACTGATTTGTCGGCACATACACTAATTATATCGTATATTCAAAAGTATTTACATAATAATAAAATACTATGCACTAAAATGCACAATACACTGGCTGAGTATAAAAGTAATATTTATTCGATGAAATATATTGACGTAAAAGTTTACGTAAAGCTTCGATTATTCTCGACGTGGCCAGATGTAATCAAGCAGGAAATCATTCGGAACTACCAACAGCTCACTTTCTAGCCATGCCCAAGCGTTACTGAATATTTAAATTTTAGAACTTCTGATATTCTGGAAAAAAAAACTAAAACGATTCACATTAATGATTTGTGATAATACTTATTGTAAATACCACATAACACCCTGTTGAAACAGGTCGGGGTTTGTCAAAGACTTTTAGCAAGGAGTATTAAACCTTACTATTATCTTTGTACGTTGGTGACATTTATATTCTTACGTGTGGCACAACACAATGACAGTTGGTGTCAGACGACTGAAAACGACTGACTCATCACGTTGACGTCGTGTCATTTTAATTTGAGCTGTGAAATAAAGTTCATCAAGATGAAAAGCTTGCAGTTTGTTATTAAGGCAAGTGAATTATTTGCCATTCACCGCATTTTCATTTTAATAAGACCCGATATTACGCAGTACTTGTTAAATTGGTGATTTTATTGCATCATAACCTCAACATAATTCTCAGAAATCCGTCTTATGTTACATACACATATTTCACTGGTCTCACAATCAGATTGTACGTAGTAATAAATATGTTATACGTATTTTCCCTCTGTTTTACACATTGTTGTGATACTGAGTTTGCTTACACAACCTTGACAGTTTTTTAGTACACGTAACCACACTGTTCTTAAAGGCGACCTACCATTAGCTATCGCTTTAAAGAGAAACGCTGGATGTGTGTGCGTTAGCGTTGACATTCGACATCTTAATAGTGAATAAACAACTGACCTATTCTCTTTAACGACGACTTTAAACTATAGACGAAGACCCTGAAATGTTTCTATCAATATTAGACAGCTCTTATAATGCAATAAGTTTGTAATAATAGAATATTAAAGTGCATTATAAATAAAGATAATTCATCGCTCTCTACGTTGATTTCTTAAACAATTGCAGGCATTATTATTTTATTACGTGAAGAAGAAATCATTTTGTTAAATATTAAACTAGCTTGTATCACTAAAATACAGTTTGTTTTTTGAAAAATTGTTTCCTTACGTACGAGAGCAGGGCCATTGTTATTCATAGCTTTGACAACATTCTTTACTAAAGCAAGTTTTATACGGAGAGTCGGTAAAAATACTTCAACTAAGGAATAATAAATAACATTTCTTTTACCTGGGGTCAGTTTCTGACATTTCTTGCCATGTTTCACCGAGCAGTGCTTGTCCTTGGCTCGGCTATTCCATTCGCAAATAAATCAGCAGTACTTCCTATATATTAATCGCGTGCCTAAAAAGATTACAATAATTTTTTAAGTTACCACATACATTCCAACATGCTTGTTGTAGTTAATTTTGTCAAATATTTTTCCTTCCTGTGAAAGCTCTGACTCGGAGGACATGGAACGTATGAATTTGAAATTATAAGTTTTATTTTTTAATGTCATTCAGTTAAAATAAAAAATAAAAACAATAAAATAAGATTGACAGAAATGAAGACGACAATTATTTAAACAATAGCTATAGGCATAATTACAAACGGTTTTTTTAATTTTTTTTTTTTTAAAAATCTGTGGGTCATAGCAAAACTCTGTTTTTAAATTTGTTATCAACAATGAAAAAAAACATTGAAATCATGTTTCATACATTAGGAAACAAAAACTTTGTATAACAGTGAACTTATTTTAATATATTTAGCGTTCTTAATTCTTTTATATAAGATAAAAATCCTCATAGGCACGTTTTGGCCGTCTGTCTGATGCACCTTGGAGTCAGTAATTGTTTTTGCTGTCAAATATTAGTGTCCGTATGACATTTTTGACGTCACACCCAACGGCATAATTGCTTTAGAACTTGTGTGTACTCCACAGAGTAAACCTTTCCAATATTATGTTATTATTTATACCATAGTTCCTACGAGGAATTCTTTCCGTTCAAAATAAAGAAATCAACTCATTGAGACGTCCAGTCCATCCGTCGACATGTGACCATGTGAACGTTGAGATTGTTGTGGTAATGCGTTCTCCCTGATTTGCACATGATGACGTAACAATTTGTTTTTTGATTTCTAGATCGTATCCGTAATTGCGATGTTCGTATTGCGCTTGATGTGGGGGATCCTCCGGCGTTGCATCTGGCCATTCGACGTAGATTTCAGCAGGGTGTCGGTATGTATTTATTTCAGAGTATACATATTATATTTTTACAGTAAGTTGGTTATAATTAGACGGTCTCATCGAAACCAGTTTAAACTATAACAATCATCTTCCGTTGGTTAGTCAACAGCGGATTCCGAAAACTTCAAAGACGCCTTGCATTCTAGGAGAGGTAGAGTTTAACCAACCCACGGAAAATTTCCATCAACGCCTTTGAAATGTTACGTGCGTCTCATATGAACTTGTACGACACAAAATAAAATCGGAGGCGTGTGGGAGGTTCTGAGTAGACAGAACCCACATACTTTCTTGCAGCTTTAAACGCTCAAACAACTCGTTATTTATGATAATTCTGAATATACGTACATGACATATGATTTTAAGGCTAAATTTCTGTTTCGTTCGTTTGTCAGAAACCTTAACAAATAAAAGGATGTAGACTGTGTTTTAAAACCTTTAATACGCGCAGTGTATGTCAACGTTTCTACAGACATAATAATAGCGGAGAAGATCTTGAAATACAAGGACCTTCACATTGAAATACAGCGAATTTATAAAGTGAAATCAAAAATAATCCCGATAATTATAGGAGCAACTGGAACTGTCTTCAGGGCGGTCAGAAAATATTTAGCCAACATCCCGCTCGATCACGACATCAGGGAACTGCAGAAGACCGCCATTTTAGGATCTTAATACATCACTCGAGAGACGCTGTCGTAAAATGTTTAGTTATCTCTCACAATAAAACTATTAAGAACAAAATGTATTTCGGAAATAGCTGCTGTATTCTGTACCTCAGGGGCAAGGTTTGTCTCGGGTATATGGAAGTAAATACCCTGTAAAATGGTGAATAGATGGAATAATTCAATTTAATTCAATTATTTTTATAATAATAATAATAATAATAATCAATTACTACTAGGAATGGCCGTTCCGGGACACTTGTTCAAGGCAACTTGTCCTTATTGGTCTTGTAGGGTGCATTTGAGTAGCCTCTGCACAATTTCTGCTCAATCCTGATTCGTTTGCTAGAGCCATCCGGTGGGAAACCAGAAGAGACATGGGTGGGAAACACGGTCGCTGAGTTCTGTCGACAAACATTGTCCCTTTTGTGATTGAACGCGTGTTAAAATTGTCGTAAATCTACGACATAGGACCGAAGGAAGTTGTGCTAAGGATTTATATAACCCTCGGCCGGGTTTGAACCCGCGAACTTTGGGCTCAGGTCAAATGGCGAGGACGCTAACCACTGTGCCACCGACCACCGAGGGGTAACGTCTTAATCTTGGAGAAAATTATTAATTAAATAAAAACATTTACTTTGTCGAATGACAAAGATTTAACCAAAGTTTTTGCCGAGTTCCTCAAGTGTTGTTTTCTTTTAACAGGAGAGGCCACGCCCGCTGTCTGAAGGAAGGACCCGGAGTGACGTTCAAGACATTGGTCTGTCGGCGGGCGGAGTAAACGCCTCGCACGGAACACCAGAGCGACCGATTCTGCAACTTGTCCGACAAACAACTTGGACCGGCGATGATGACATCGGTCTGTCGGCGGACGGAGTAAACGCCTCGCACGGAACACCAGAGCGACCGATTCTGCAACTTGTCCGACAAACAACTTGGACCGGCGATGATGACATCGGTCTGTCGGCGGGCGGAGTCCGTCGGAAGTACCAACCAGTGCTTGGCCTGCAGATTACGTACAGTAGACTGCGCTCTGTCCGCTCTGTCGTGGATGAACCTGATATCGTATTGGGAAGACTGCTGATTCCAAAGGACCACGATTTGGAGACTCTCCGTGCATCATTCGACAAGCATAAATTTGTATTTTTTCATCATTTCTTTTGTTCGTATTTGTTTCATAAAAGTGTTGTCGAAGAACAATACGAAAGCAATTGTTAAGTATTTTAGTGTTTTAAAAATTTTCAATAAAATTATGTTTTTTTATATAAAAATGAGATGTTTATTTGTGATGGAAACCCAAAGTGTCCTTTGAGCCATTATTGCTGTTTCATTTCTGGTTTGACACTTCTTGTCTGTCAACCATTTCCTTGTACATTTGTTTAGCTTACGAGTTAACAAACGACAAAACAAAGCCCACACAAATTTGCCTCTCTTAAGACAATAGTACCTTACCACGGTGGTCTAGCGGTTAGAACGCTGGCCTTGTAATCCTGTGGTCTCGGGTTCGATTCCCGGCGGTGCCCCAATTTATAACTTGTGTTGGGCAAGGCCGTGGAGTTTTATTCCGGGGGCTTCCCCGGTTTCTCCGTGGCATCCCAACAATTACTCCATTCACACACAGAAGAAGGCAATGGCAAACCACTTCTGGATCATCTGCCAAGAACGTATATGAACAGGTCCCAATCCGAGAAAAGGATGGAAGGATCCTGCTCAT